AACGACGAGTGAATCGTCTCGTAAATTACGTGGACTGTCGTGCTAATTTATGCCGCAGCGCGAAACTACACGGGCACTACTGTCGTTGCTGCCGAGCCGTTGGGTACAATAAAGTTTCGAGGACCTATGCAGGTCACAGAAAATAATATCATTTTTCATCCTGTAGAGCTGCTCCACCAACACGATATGTCATTACATTTCCACATAATACATAATATTGTATAGACGGACAAACTCTGTCTCTGCCAGTGGTTTCGGCGTGTCCGTCGTCGGGTCAGTCTCATAATTGGTCGTTAGAAATTTATACCCTCCTCGTCATCCTTCACGAAGCAAAACCTCCTATTGTACATTCGCATCAAACCACATAATTAGTCGCCAATGAAATTGTATACCCGCGCATCGCATGCGACAGACGATGAGCTGTAATCTCTCGTTTTGCAATCCATCTCTACCTCCATGTACCTTCCCTTTTTTCTCCAACAGCCATCTTATCCGCACCTTTACATATACGTCCAGCATCTAATTTGGCTAAATTATATATATACGTGCACCAAACACACGCTCACGCGCACACGTAGCCAGAGATCAGGCAGAGGAGATATACCAGACATCAGGAACGAGAGTAGTATACATATACGTATAGGTATTAGTATCGGAGGAGAACGAGTCCCCATAAAGTAGGCCACGAGGAAATCGTTTGTCTTCCTGTATGCCGCTTGTCTGCCTGCAATGGCTGACTGGTCGGCTATTACGATCTGCAATGCAACAAATCCCGAGAGACTCTCGCTCTTATTCTCCCTGCTTTCGCTTATCGCCATCGAACGAGCACAACCAGATACCACATAATTATGTACTCTCTAGCGCTGGTGATCGTTGCGCAATGTATACCGAACCCCCAACGTCATTTTTGTACGATCCATAGGGTTTCCGAGAGTTTTTGATTCACTCGATATTCCCCATCAGCTGATGTGCTTTCATTCACCTCGCGAGGCTTTGCAGTTGATGGGTTTACAAGGTCTCATCTGGGCGGTAAATTTTTTTTTCAAAACTAAAGCATACAATAAACCGAACGTTGATTCACGATTATTTATCGGCTCTGCGAACAAAAAAAAACGGTATGTCATCGCGCACGACAGGCCTTCGCGCTCTCGACGACGATATAGCTCTCTTATCATCGTTCGGTGAGTGCTGAGCCCCAGTGTGTGTAAACAACGTTTGCGCAATGCTGCGAGCACGAGATAAACTGCACATTTCCCTATACACGCGCGTAATGTATATTTTTATAAAAAAAAAAAAAGAAAAAAAAAATACTCGCCTTATATGACGTATCCTATGACTTGCAAGTAAAAGAGAAATAAGAATACATCGTGTATACCAGATAAGAGGGCGGGACTTTTTTTTTTTTCTCTACTCCGACTACAAGAGACACAAAGCTAGCGTGCGCGTCCCAATATTCTCAATGTCGGGATGATGTAAATCACCGTTGAGGACATGGGAAAAGTGCATACATGTATCGGTCTCGACCCGCGTTTAATGTCCCTGCGACACTTTCGTATCGTAAACGAGTTTAGAAAAACAATAATCCCAAGTGTATCACCGGATAATCCGATCATTTCAAGCCCCGAGTGACCGTGTATAGGTGTACGGTCGAGAGGTCCATTGCAAATCCTCCGTGGAATCCCGTGAGTCCCCTAATTTTCGTGAAATAAAATACGCGTAAACCCGGTGTATACTGCACGTCACGTCTTTAAATCCCCTTGAAATCCGCAAAAGTGTACCTATACAGAGCAAAGGGTGCTGTTAAACCCTGTGGTGGTAAAGGCTATTTTCCCCCGCTTTCCCCTTCTCTCTCTCTTGCTCCCTCGAAAAGCGGTCTTTTATCTGTACACAGGTATACGCGGTGGTGGTAAAGGTCCGTATAAGTAGCCAAACCCCGTGCGATAACCGCACGCATCGGAAACGCCCATGTCCTCTGTACATTTATACCGCTGATCAATGACCAATAGGTATATGTAGGGATATCGGTAACACTTGAGGCTGTAGGTAGATGCGATGAACAAACTCGAAAAGGTGCGTGACATTGATGTGTACAAATATATACGCGAAAACCAGAAGCGCTTTGTTATACATTGTCGAGTAGTCTCCGTTGAACTGGTTGTCCGTGAATTATGGTTTATCGTTGTTACCGTATGAATCTAGGGTTAACTCCCTCGTATAAACGCATCTACAGGTACTGCTGACGATTACCGATTGTGATTTATGGCCTTACTTTGGGTCTTTTTGCATGCACGGTCTTAATTACGACTATACAACTTTGCGTTGTTATACCCTTTAACGCAAATCATATACTATGCACACGATGATATCGATGTCGAGTCATCAACCTGTTGTGATGTAGGTGTTGTCCAGACGACACGTTGTTCCACAATGGGAGTAACGAGAGGGCCGGTCACTCGCACCGTAAGAATATGCTCGCGCAACAACAATTTGCTCGTCCGGAATAAAGATTTCCGAGACACACGACACTTTGCGCCCGTCGACGCCGCAATTTGATTAATTCGCTTCTTTTTTCCTCCTCTGTATATACTCTCTCTCTCTCTCTCTCTCCCTCATGCTCATTGTCGCACAATTTAAAACCCGTTCGAGCTGCAGTAGCGGTAAATTTGCATCCGTCCCCTGCACTTGCGCTTGCCCTTTCGATTTCTTTTTTGTCCCCCTTTTGGTTCCCTTTTTGATTTTCGCGTCTCGGTATCACCGAGAGAGTCACGCGAGCGTCCACACGCACGTAAACGAGAACAAAAAACATTATTCGCGGTGGTGCTCGTTTTTTGTCGTGTATTATAAGTTACAAGGGGGGGCCGTAGCCGTTAGAGTGCTCCGACCTACATTCGCGCGATGATTTGTACAGGGGACACAGTGATAGCTGTGAAGCGATAAAACCTTTTTTTTCTTCGCCGCCGGTCGCGCAGCCGTTCTTTCGATTGTCACGTCGCGAGTATAACAGTACAGTTATCTAATGTACTTTCTTATCCCGACGTACGAGAATCAAAACATTACCTCTAGTGCCAGAAAAAAAAAAAAAAAAAAAAAAATTACCAAGGTACATTGTCGCGCGCGTGCCACAAAAATAGAGCGTAGTGGTGATCGCTCGTGTAGATTTCCGCGAGGCTTCGGCGCTGTAGTGAATTGTACGCGTCCATCATCAGCTGACGCGCGCGTCCTTGACTACACGTATACGGGTTTAACGTATACGCGTCGCGGAGGCTCAGGGCTGCCTATTACACACCACGCGCGCACACGATACGTGTTTGAGGATATACACATCTCAAGAAAATGTCCCACTGGAAAGCACGTGTGTGTGTGTGTATGTGTGTGTGTGTACACATATGTTTATACACACATAGATTATTCGCAAGGCCTGTATGTCTTTCGCACGCGCGTGCTATCGTGATGCTTCTTCGGGTTTCGCGATCGGTATTGTACTAGCTCTGTTCTCGTCGCTTGTATGAATGTCACAAGGAGTTTAATTATGGAGTACACGTCATACTTACAGGTACTGTTACATTATTTTAGAAAGTCAAACGACATTGGCATTTGTGCAGCTCTCAGGTACATCCACTTAAAATCGGTAGATTATATGTATCGTTAGGATCGATTATTTACAAGTTGATATCATTGCATCGATATCATTAGTTGTCCCTGATTTCTAGAGCACCGAGATCATAATGATTAAATGACAATGATTGGAACCAAAGTAACAGACCGAGAGCTGAGCGCAAATTTTTACGGTTGTACAAGAATTAATTTAAACAGGTATATAGATTCACCATGAATTTGGTGGTAATAACTGTAGTATTGCCTCAGTGGTCCCAAAAAAAGCAGGAAAAAATACTTTTTCCGTTACCGTCGAACCAGATATCTAAGTAGGTAAGTGTCTTGGTAAGGATGTTATCTCTGTAATGTACAGTCCAAAAAATATTGTTCAGTCGATGCAGAGTACCCGCAGCATAACGAGAGACACGCATTTATCGACGGTTCAAAACGAGTCAAGTCAAATTTAGTCAAGACGGTTCTCACTCGGCAAGTGGCTCGGTCGTAAAAGTATACAGATAGGTGAAATCCCTTCCAGCGCACGTACACCACCATCTGGTTTGGCCATAACCATAACAGATAATGATCGTCAAATTGTTTAAACTTTGTGTACCAATTGAACAATGAGTCTCTCGTACGGCAAATCTATCCAAAATTTACCGTGACGATTTATCATCAAAATACTGCGATGCAAATTTGCGAGCGCCGCACTTTAATTTCCCTTACGTAACCCGCATATCGTCGTCGATTAGCCACTCTACATCCGCTTTTCAATCAAACACATAAGTGAGCTAAGCTTTAAAGCCAAACGATTTGCTGACTAATCCAGTGTCCGGAAGCTAAGGAAATAGAGACAGCAGTCGGGCAATCGTGTTGTAATGCCAGATCTGAGGTATTTTTTTTTTCTTCCCCTTTGAAACGGCTGGAAACTCATCTAGAGCAGATAGGTACATCAGAGGGGAGCAAAAACCATTGCACAACACTCCTGCGAACAAAAAGCTATTGTCGAGCACAATGGGGTCCCCAAAGATTGTTGAAACGAGCAGTTTCTCTCTCTCTCTCTCTTCACGGTCGGATGGAGGAATGGCTCCGGGAAATCTGGGTTAAACGCATAGGCTGCGGGAAAAACCATACCCACGTCGGCACGTACGGCAATGCAAAGGTTTTCACGAAGTTTTCAATAATTCGTGATCCTCGAGAAACTGCAGTTTTGAGAAAATTCATCTTTTACATATATACCAATGGATAAAAGTACCTAAACTCTTTGAGACCAGACTCTATATTTAAGTGGTAACCAATTCCCAAAAATTTTCACATTACTATGAATGATGAGCAATCACATGCTTAGTTTGTATCTATATATTATTAAAAAATAAATAAGTGAATGTTTGGCTTTTTTTGTTTTTCAGGGCGATAAAGGCCTTCCAGCAGGTGCTATGGGTGGAGCCAAGCTTTCCGCGGGCCTGCGAGGTTCACCTCAGGCTGGGCTTGATGCTGAAAGTCCACGGTGACTTTGAAGCATCCCTCAAGCACCTCACGCTCGCCCTCATCGACGTCACCACGCCTGCGTCCTTCTCCAAGCTTGAAAGTACGTTCGACACCTTTTCTTTGCTCGTTATTGGATCCTTATACTGATTTTTTTGTTGGTCGATTCGTGGTGCCTTGACCTCGGTAGAAAAAAAAAAAAAAAAAAATCTCACGTGAATCGACTAGCGAGTAACGGTCGAGACCGATAAACCACAAAACACTGGTGGGTTTCCAAGAGCTCCACTACTCGACTGATCGATAAAAGAAGGAATCGGCGTTCATTGCCGCAACGGGTTGAGGATAAGGGAGGGAGCTGTGTTTGATGATTCAACTATGTTAATTTTCTCGGTTTACACATAGTTAGTCGAAGGCTCGCCGCGAATTTGTAATGATGACGCGTCGACGGTGAAGAAGGGATAGAAAGGAAAGCTAGCGAGAAGTTGAAGGCTAAGTTCGCACGTGTTTTCTTTTTTTTTTTTCCCCTCCACGTCGAGTCGGTCTTGATTTTCTCGCTCGAGTCGATACGAGGCTTTTTTTGCTAAATAGAAAAACGGTGCAAGTGTTTGCTTTTTTTTTAACTTGCTGATTTTTTAATAAGAATTTCGCTTAAAAACTGGATAAAGAAAACTTTTTTGTTTGTATGTACTTTTTTCACTCGATTACTTATTTTGATGTGTTGTCGAGGACAACGTTTTCCCATGAGATTCACAGTCGATTCTTCAAGAGCTGAGTCATCGGTATAAACTCTAGTAGATCGAGAATCGTGAATGGCTGGGGCAACGATTTTACTCAGTCGTGCGGTTGTAAAGGCTTCTAGTAATGAACAAAAATAACTTTGAATCGGACTATACGTGCGTTAAAATGGAGCAAAAATACACGCGGAGAAGCTGTGCGGAAGAAAAGTGAGTCACGATAATGAACTTGAAGTCGAGTGTTGGTCGATTTCAAGGGAATTGGATTCAATTCAATTAAACCCATGTATACTTCACTCCTAATGATGTGTTTTTTTTTTTTTGATCGATGATTGAGAAGAAAAAAAAAACAATTTTAGTTTATTTATGCTTTTCGTGAAACAAGTAACTAATTATAAATTTGACCAACCTGTAAAATTCCCATCCACCAATTTGTTGATAAAAGACGTAGAAGAAAAAAAATAAATCCCCAAAAACCCCGTCGATGATTATCCGAGAAAAAAAGATTCCTCGAGACAAAAACACGCCCCAAATTGGCAACAGCCAAACCCTAAACATGTGCAGGTAGAATCATAAGCTTAAGGCAAACTTGATGCTGTTGCAGTAAAGTTCCACATCGCGCACCTGCACGAGATACAGGGCAAGTACCGTCTGGCGAAGGAGCACTACGAGGGCCTGCTCAAGGAGAAAGCCCTGCCCGCGCACCTCAGGGCCGATATCTGCCGACAGCTGGGTAAGTCCTCCCTCCCTTGCACGCATAGATCAACAAGGTCTCTCTCTCTCTCCCTTCTGTCCTTTCCCTTACAGGTACACATATTTATATACAACGTCCTACCGAAGAGTTCGGTATCAATTTATTACGCGTGACATATTATTCGGGACGACGCGGTCGCGCTTCGTGCGGAGTTCAGCGCCGCCGGCGCGCGAGGGGGCGGTTGTTGTTGTAGCGTAGCGTGAGAAAATCGATGTGGGGTTACTGGGCTACGTCTATATAATACGTCTGTATTGTTACATAAGCTCCGGGGGCTCGACTCTCTCGTCGCTATATTATATACACTCCCCCCGGCATGGTATACATTTATTTAAGGACGTTCGGTAGAGATAGAACCCTGTGATGAATCTTTTTGAAATTTTAACCAGGCGTTCTTATTATTGTTACAATGAAGCTGTTAAAATTTCAAAAGGTTCGTCTGTTTCGTTTCCGAGATATTGAATTTCAAAGTTCAGTCATTTTAACACGGTCGCTTATGGGAAAACTTATAAAAACTCAGTTTAAAAAAAATTGGCGTGATGAATGTCTCCAATTTTCTTATATGTCACAGATAATGTTATTAACTATATGTACACAAAGTTTCGTGACGATCGTCTGATTAGTTTATGAATAAAAAAATTAAATAATAGTTCGACAAAAACGTAACGGCAACGTCGCAAGAAGCGGGAAATTCAAAATGTTCCAGGACGTACATTTCAGTAAATATTTGAATATTATGGTAGATATTTATGTATTTCTGTATAAAACATAAGCTTACATATGTGTGTGAGTATATGTACGTAGGTTCCACCCGTACCCATAACAAAACATAGTATTATAATAACACATATTTATTTTTCTTAATAAAGTTTTTAGTTTGTAATTTTTATACAATACAATTTTTTTACACAAGATAACAAAATCACATGCTTGTAGTAATCGCAGAGACTAGAGTCTGTCCTAATTATTTAACACATCACTTTCAATGAGACTTTTCAAGTCACATAAAAATTCAAGAATTTTATTTACATTAGCTACGAATATAATTGTATGTACATCTGTCACAAGTCTTTTTAACTATTTAATTATTTTTATTACATTGTTATAACGAATAAAAATCAAATACTTACATCTTTAGTAGAAATACATTACAAATATACGCATACGCTGCCGTAACCGACGCAGCAGACAGTGCAGACACTGCAGATTGCACACCACCTGATGTGTGTACGCATGAACATTCACACATTGGAGACCCGCGCGATGATGCCAAGTCTTCACTCATCGCTACTTCCTCCTTGCCCCGCAAATGGTTCCCCCCCCCCCCGCTATCTCTACCGAACGTCCTTAAGTATATACATATAGTGCCGGTACCTCGTCATAATGGTAATAAAAAACCGAGCGCCTTGACTCTCCCCGTACTTTCTCTATTTGTTTGTTTTTCCCTCTTTCTAGTTGTTGGAAATGCAGGTAGACGATCCGAGGACAGCAGATTCAGGTGAAGAGGAATATGCCCCAGTGCGCCCTGATCGATCTTTTTTCCAAACAACGGTTATACTGTACATTTGATTTAGACGCACGGGTTAACGATAGATTTTTGTTACTCCGTGTAATGAATGAAAACGCACAACAGGGGTCACGCATGCTTTACCAAACAGAGTCGAAATTCTCGAGGTAGCTTCGAAATCGGGCTGTCGATTTGCCTAACTCGCTAAACAGACTCGAGCGAATTGAGCCTCTGAACGTTTGAACGGCGTACGTATACATACATATAGCTACATGTAAACACATACACCCACCCTATACGAGTTTAAGGTCCGTCGTGGTTGCAACGAGCGCCAAGAGCGGCAGACACGTGTATTGATTTATTCAGGCCATCGTCGGTCGTGCAGAAGTATATAGGGTTGTTGGGGGGTGGGGGATATTATCGAACGGGGATTGGGAGCTGATGTGCATCGAAGCTGCCGGGGAGAGGGTTGGGAGTCCGTAGGGGGTGGCGAAAACAGAGCGCAATCGTGAGATCTTCTTATATGTATACGTACCCTTTGTTCTCTGGGTTTTGTTTTTTACATTTTTTTTTTCCCCAACTCGCAAGAGGGTAAGGTTTCATACATGTGTATGTATATAGTCGACACACGCTCATCCCCGCTCGGCTTGCTCCTGTGATGTTTTTTTTTCTCCTCCTTCTCCCTCTGCGATATCTCTCTCTTTTTGTTTTGCACCCCCTTATCTCTGTAATTTCATAATTTCACAATCGTTCGCGCGATTCTGTCACGTTTGAATCGTCTTTTTTTCAATGGGTTATATAATACACACGTGCGTATAGATAATCCAATGGTATACAAGAGTCTGGTGAATCTAGCTCTCCTCATATAGAGTCCTCAAAAAATCAACTTTCGTGATACTGTCCGTATATACGCGTGGTTACGTGAACACTTCACCGTCATGTGTATGCATTGCGCCCAATCCATGACGATAATAATAACAAAACGCCCCGATTTCCCGGTCTGCCATATAGGCACACATTAGCGTCCCATCCACATCGTCCGTACACACGCGCGTGTGTTCCCTCTCTCTTTGGTGAAACCGTGGCAGATGGCACGTATAGCACGAAGCGTCACGTACGCCACTCCGCCGCCGCTGCAGGCCTTTAAAAACCTAGCGCACAAAGACCCCTCAAGTTTTTCTCTCTCTCCGCGATCGAACCAAGATACGACGCTTTTGTGTACATACACCCATACACGCCCGTGTGGTATATCGTATATATATTTATTATATACATGTTTGAAAACCACGAGCAGCATCAACAGTCCGGGAGAGAATAATATTCTTCTTCTTCTCCTCCTTCGGTTCTGCATTGTGTTTCTTCGGCGTCGTTGTACATAACGAACAGATCGGGTTTTAAAAATTCTTTTATCGCTATTATTTATTTTTATTCCCCTCAAAGGAAGACCATTTGTTTCCTTTAAAAGGACTCGGGCGTACACCAGGAGCTCTGCAGCCCTTGAGGCTCTCGGGGTGAACGGAACTAGCTCGTTTTTTTTTTAATTTTAATTTTTGTAAATTTCAGAAACGACCGTCCACGTATAGACTTTTTCAATGGCTCAGCTGTATAACGTATACGGTCCTCTCCATACGTGAAACCGAGATGAATTTGCACGAGGTTCATCGACGTGTTTGCTTTGGAATATCTAATCCCCGTGACTGTATGGTGTACGTGTGTATAGGTACTGTTATTCGATCAGGTGTGGGATTCCCCGTAGAGGTGCGCACTAAAATCAATTCCGAAAGTCCAAGGGTGCGTTGGAAGCCCTTGTAGCGCAAGAGCCAACCGATTGAAGCAGAACGTATACAAGGTAGCTCTGTACGCGATTGGAAACTTCGCATCCTTGTAATCGTACGAAAAGGACGAAGGAAAAAAAAATCCGAACGCGGAAGAATTTCAAGGATTGGAGTGTCAAAACTTTGTCCTCGCGTCTAAAATTAGATGTCGCTATATATTTATACATACCTACGTGTCAGCTTTGCCTCGTCGATCATATACGTATCTATAGCACCTAACGGCGTACGTCACCACGCGTACAGGTATACATACGCACGTGTTTAAATATATACACGCGACGACGTAACGCACGCCCACGCCCCCGCGAGGTTGTATATATAGTATTGGTATCGTAGAAAAGAGATACAGTCGGAGGATATCCTATAATACCAACGTTGGTATATGTACATTTATACGTATACTTGTACACTTGCAGCAGCCATATTCGCGGGTTATAGTGCAGCGAGTGTTTGTTGGAAAAGCCGCGCGCGACCTACATTCCAATGATGCATCACCACCGCAGCTGCCATCCGAGTACTTTTAATGCATGCCCTTCGCTTCGTACGTGTACTTACTTTTATTTTATATTCCTCTCTCTCTCTTTTTTCTCTCCGCGACTGTGTTGTGCATGATAAACCCATACGATATTATTTCTCTTTTCCTCCTCCCCACACGCGAACGCTCGCGAGATGGTGATGTGGCAACGGGTAGACCGAGTACAGGAGTAGGTGGTTTTTCTTTCGCATCACTTTTCTATAATTAATCTTTGGGTTTTTTTCCGGAAGAAAAAAAAAAAAAAAAAAAAAAAAAAAAGAATATCGATGAATATTCATCGGGAGAACTGGCGCCGATCGTATACCATCCCGTTGGGCGGTCGCGCTCCAACGCTTTGGAGATTTTCGTCAGTGGCAATGACGCGCGCACAACCATAAGTATCTCGAGTGCATGTGCGTGCGAAAGACGCCCCTTTAGTCTAAATGTAACCCTGACATTTAACATCGACTGTCCAGCTTACAACCCTACACATAATTTTTAAGATAATATTAATACCCGACGAACACATCATCAATTTGTCATTTGAAGTTTTACTTACCAGGGGGGTGGGGATGGAGAAAGAAAGACAAGTCCCAATCCCTAGCTCCAGACGCTCATGGTTTTCGCGGGAACTTCGAGGCTCCAGCAGTGGTATGTGAACAAAATCAGAATAGAGGAGTACGTGTATATATACTCGTACCACTCGAGCCGAGCGAAAGAGGAAGAGGGAGGGAGATAAGGAAGGCCTTAGCTCATAGAGGTACATGAATGCATCAGGAAAAGGAGAAGGAGGAGGCGGCTCGCGGCGCGCTTCTATTTTAAGAGCAGTGTCGTAACGGTACCTCCTCTCCCCCCCCCCATGTGTGTGTGTATGTGTATCTCTTGTATACGTGTAGGTGTATATACTACCATCTCCGTTGGACGCTCGTCTGGAATTATATTATACCGCAACAAGGCAACGGTGTATGTATACCTACAACACCTATACTTACCACCGGGTTCTAAACTCCGTTGGCGTCTGTGCTGTTTAATGTATGGTGCATGTTCTTAGCTCGGCTGTTGCCACAAGGATACGGGTCTATATATATGTATATAAGTAGATGCACGTATGTGTGTGTGTGTGTGT